CTTGCCTTGCATGCATGAGGCCCTGGGTTCGATTCCTCAGCACCACATAAGCAAAAAGAAAAAAGCTGGAAGTGGTGCTGTGGCTTAAGTGGTAGAGCGCTAGCCTTGAGCTGAAGAGCTGAGGGACAGCTCCCAGAGTTCAGGCCCCACGACTGGGCGCCCCCCCCAAAAAAAATTCTTACTCTAATTCTGGATGGTCATGTAACAGTCTAGTGAAACTTTTCAGGTACTGGGAAAATTTTTGTTATCTGTTTTTGTTTAGGTTAGAAATCAGGGAGTTAGACGTTCTTTGAATTACTTAGATGTGTAGACTTCTGATCTGAGACTGTTGGGGAGTATGTAACATGTCAGAAAAGGACACATTTCTGCTCTTTGACTACTAATAGAAATCTAGCGATGCCAAGATGGGACTGTAGCACTGCTGAGAGGAGAGACTACAGATAAGGGCTGAGCCTGGCATAGGCAGCTTTGTTCAGCATCTGTCCACATTGTAGTTGTTAGGTTCATCAGCAGGATTGCTCCTTTTGCTGATTTCTGATAGGAAGAGAAGAATGAATGAAGTATACATGCATGGAGAGAGGTGAGATTGCAATGACTGGAGAGTATGAACCAACAGTTAAAACACCGTGGCCTAAAAATTATTCTATGAAGTCTAAATAGTCTATGCCCCTAAAAGTCCTGGTGATTTCTCCTTCAATAATACCCTTGGATTAGATCCTGAAATCCTTGACCTCAAACTTTTTTATTTGGTGCCAGTCCTTGTGCTTGAACTCAGGGCCTGTGCTCTGTCTGAGCCTCTCAGTGCTCAAGGCTAGCACTTTACCACTTGAGCCAAAGCACCACTTCAGGCTTTTTGTTTATATGGTACTGCGGAATTGAACCCAGGGCTGCATGCGTGCTAGGCAAGCACCCTACCACCAAGCCACATTTCCGTCCCAACCTCCAACTCTTTGCCAAACATGTCTCTTACAAGGAAAAAAGAGAGTGGCAGGTTGTGGGACACCCACTCTGAATGTCCCCTGTTAACTCGGCCTAGTTCTCCCCTCACTGAAACGAAGTATCCATGTTGTACCTAGACTATCTGAGCTACTCAATTAAAACTCTGTGTGGGGCTGGGAAGGTGGCTCAGTGGTAGAGCGCTTGCCTTGCATGCCTGAGGCCCTGAGTTCGATTCCTCAGCACCACATAAGCAAAAAGAAAAAAGCCGGAAGTGGCGCTGTGGCTCAAGTGGTAGAGCGCTAGCCTTGAGCTGAAGAGCTGAGAGACAGCGCCCAGGCCCAGAGTTCAGGCCCCACGACCGGACCCCCCAAAAAAACAACAAAAAAAAACAAAAAAAACTCTCTGTGTGTGTGTGTGTGTGGGTTTGGGGGCTTGAACTCGGGTATGGGTGCTGCCTCTGAGCGTCTTTTGCTTAAAGGTAACACTCTACACCACTTGAGCTCCATCTGTGGCCTTCCGGCGGCGAATCACAGATAGGATCCTCATAGTCTGGCTTCCAGTTGTGCTGCTCAGATCTCAGCCTGGTGAGCGGCTAGGATTACAGGCGTGAGCCACCTGCGCGCGGCTCGTCTTCCACTTGGGGAAGGGGGTCTCAGACGCTGTCTGCTCTGCCTATAGCGGGAACTACCGCCAACGGAGTGGCTCCAGACAGGACTCCACTCTCGCACACACTTGGCCGGACTTCGCATGCACACAGACAAGCTGAGAAGTCCTGCCCATCAGGGGGCCCCCAGCCCGGCCAGACGCGCTCCAGCTCCCAGCTCCCGGCTCCCGCTCCCGCTCCCGCTCCCGGGCAGCACCGGGCCCTGCGGAGTCACCGCACGCCCCTCCGGAATCCCAGAGGCACTTCCGGGAAGAAGTACCGGTTCTCCGAAGCTGATTGGTTAGGATTTTGGCCCGCCTCCCACCTCTTGACGTTATTCCTCCTGCGCAAGCGTGCTGTCAGTGCTTTTCAACACCATGGCGGACCCAGAAGCCCTGGGCTTTGAGCACATGGGTCTGGATCCTCGGCTTCTGCAGGTATCGGGAAGGGTTGTGGGTTTCGGGTCCTATTCATTGGATCCCCACTGCGTTGTCGCCCTCCACGCCACCGAAACCTCCTTACTCCTCGTCTCTCACAGGCTGTCACGGATCTGGGCTGGTCGCGGCCTACGCTGATCCAGGAAAAGGCCATACCTTTGGCCCTGGAAGGGAAGGACCTTTTGGCCCGAGCCCGCACGGGCTCCGGGAAGACAGCTGCTTACGCGATCCCGATGCTACAGCAGCTGTTGCACAGGAAGGCGGTGGGTAGCGGGCAGGGTCGTAGGGAGGGAGAAGGCAAGCCCCATGGGAATGAAGATGTCGTGTGCCCAAGGGCTTCGGAGCCCCTTACCTATTCAGCCTCCCCCTCGAGAACCAGTTCCTGTTGTAGCATGCGCTCTGGACTGGAGCCTGGGTCTAATCCAGACAGACCCTTGGTATAATCTTGAACAAATCACTTAATATTTTTTCTTGTGTAAAAAGGGAGCAGATTCCTTTTGCATTGTGAAAGTCCAGCTTTAAATTACTTTTAAATTATGCTATTTCCATGTTGCAGCTCCACGGGTTACTTTTTTTATTTTTTATTTTGCTAATCCTGGGGCTTTAGCTCAGGGCTTGGCACTATCCCTGAGCTGCTTTTGTTCAAGGCTAGCACACTCCCCGTTGACCCACACAGCACTGTTTCTGGCCTTTTCTGTTTATGTGGTATGAGGAATCAGACCCAGGGCTTCATGCATGCTAGGCATTCTATTGCTAAGTCATATTCCCAGCAAGTAATTTTGAATGTCAGTGCCTGGGGAAAGCCCTGAATTATGTTTTGATGTGGAGGGAATGGTCGATGGTAACACAGCTAGCTGGTTGTATTTCATTCTATGGGTCAAATTGGAAGAGATAGGGAAAAGCATCAGTGATATGCGCTTCTAGCTGAAGTTTAACTTATGGTCTTACAGACAGGTCCTGTTGTAGAACAGGCTGTGAGAGGCCTTGTTCTTGTTCCTACCAAGGAGCTGGCACGGCAAGCCCAGTCCATGATTCAACAGCTGGCTGCCTACTGTGCTCGGGATGTGCGGGTGGCCAATGTCTCAGCTGCGGAAGACTCAGCTTCTCAGAGGTGGGTGAAAGCAATAGGGAACAAAGCTACACACACAGGAGAGACAGAGAGAGAGAGAGAGAGAGAGAGTGTGTGTGTGTAGCAAGAGAATGGGCTGGTCCAAGGAAAGATTTCAGGATTTATATTTTTTTCCTGAAAGTTACATTTTGTCACTTGCAGAGCTGTGCTAATGGAGAAGCCAGATGTTGTGGTGGGAACTCCATCCCGCATATTAAGCCATTTGCAGCAGAACACCTTGAAACTGAGAGACTCCTTGGAGCTGCTGGTAGTGGATGAGGCTGATCTTCTCTTTTCCTTTGGCTTTGAGGAAGAGCTCAAGAGTATTCTCTGGTAAGGAACAAGGGGTATAGTAGTTCCTAGTGGATACATCTACAGGTAGCTACTTGGGATTGGAGAGGAATGGGTAGGAGTTCACCTTCAACAATTAGAGGCTCTGATTGCTGGAACCTGATAAGACTGTTTTCTTTTAGTCACTTACCCCGGATTTATCAGGCTTTCCTCATGTCAGCTACTTTTAATGAGGATGTACAAGCACTGAAGGAGCTGGTTCTACACAACCCGGTAAGAGGCGCTGAGGGAGAGTCTGGAGCTATAATAGGCATGGGGATTGTCAGAGGACTTTGTCCTTCTCAGAGGAAGCCTGTTGTCATTGGATGTGTCATTTCTGGTTCTAAGACATTTAAAGCCAATAATCATTTCTTTTTTTTTTTTAATTTTATTTTATTTGTGAACATGCTGTACAGAGGAGTTACAATTACATGGGCAGGATAATGCGTACATTTCTTACCAAGCATTGCAGCCTCCTCCTTTGTTTACCCTTCACATCCCTTCCCAGCCTCTCCCC